GGAGAGGGCGGCTGATGCTCCCTCCCCCCGCAGGCGACGTACGGGGGTGCGTCGGAGGCAATTCCTACGCCTCCAATAGCACCCCTGTGTTCCGGGCTGGGGTCGGCGTGGTAACCCGGCCCTTTTGAAAGCCCGGCGTCGTCGGGGTGGTCCTAATTGCCGGGATCGCCCCCATGCTCTGAGGGAGTAAGTCCGGTCTTTGCCAGGACCGGCCAGTCGCTGGTGTGCCCTGTCGCTGACAGATCCGGGGTACACCGACATAGCGGCCGATGGCTTTCGCAGTGGTTTTAGTGAGTAGGGGCCTGCCCAGGCCGAGCCTCACACATCCCTTCCGGCCCCACCAAGGCCGGTTGGACGGCTCGTAAAAAGAGTTTCCACTACGTCAACAAAAAAAAAAAAAAAAAAAAAAAAAAGAAAGTTGGTGTAGATAGTTAGATGTTTGAATGGTTTATTTTGTATTTTGAAATGAACTCTAGGACATAAATGAAACTTTACATTTAGCTACATATAATGTAATTTATGCAGAAATTACATTTAATTCCACCACTGACATAGCGTAACGGTTGTATAAAGTCACGTGACTAAGTGTTTTATTTTAATTAGCTATCATAATATATATGTATATTATTGTATGCACTCATTATTTGTTCTGTCCCTGAACTCAAAAACTAAAAAAAACTTTGTCGTGAGCGGAACCTAGGTAGAACAATATTATATACATATGCACGTCTGTATCACGGATACGATTTTATATAATAAATACATGTATTCCATTATAATCCAATTGTATTAAATTAATGAACGAACAAAAATGATCAATATGTAATAAGTTCGCAATTTCATTTATAAAGGATTTTGGATTACAATTGTTTACGTTGTATTAACTTGACAGTACGAACACGACTGAAAAGACATTAACTATTCACCAAAATTACAATATGTTTTGTCAATAGAGGATGTATGGTCTATTCATTTCGCAGTTTCTTAAGGAAGTCGTCATTTGTAGCACCGCTATCGGCCTCATAACTACAAAGCGAATAACCCTGAGTATTACAATAAGCAACATAAGATACTTAAAGGTCAATGTTTTAAAATAATTCTTCGTATCACGATACGTTAAATTCAATACCACCTTCTCACTGGTTTTGTATTACTCGTTTGTTTTGTCTAAGTTCAGTTTTAGTGTTGTCTTACATCGTTCTATCAACGTCGCAGTTAATACTAGAATACAAATTGATTTGTCAGAACCCTTGTGAACAGATGATTTCAACAAAGATACTTTCTTCGTTCGAATGCATGAAGAGAAGTCGAAAAAATCGTTTTTAGACTTAAAGTTTGACAATTTTTTTTAATACAACGATATTCTGTTCTTATATATGGATCATATTTATATAAAATATACTCGGCAAGTCGCTCTCACGAGCCTCTGTAATAGAGGTGTGTTACAAACACCAGACAATGTCGTTAACCTGTCAGAATTCAATCTACGAATCAAGGTTGTTTAGTACAAGTTCCACATACTTTTTGCTACATGTTAGATACTATAAATCAGACTGCCATAAAACGAGCTATAAGGCGCTTTTCAAGCCAGCTTATAAGTTAAGCTCAAGATAAACTCAATAATTCTTTATCGTTGTTTCTTTTCTCTATAAGCTGCAAGTGACTGGTTGGTTAGGGGGTTATAAAATTAGAGAATTGGTCATACTATCGCCTCAGAAGCTTCTATTTATAATAGTTGAATTATTCTTCCATTTCCAGTGTATGTTTAGCTGCGGTAAAATTATCTGGCGCCTTGCTGGTTGCGTGTTTTCTTTTATTGTCACCGTTCACAGTTTCAGGGTTTGTTTTTCTTATGACTCATTTACGATGTTTAAAATATCACAAGTACTTGAGAAGTTTAGTGCTTTCTGTTTGTCCGTCGATGCTTATTATAGTCTGAATGGTCCATAAAATTAAGCAAATACTCCCCAAGTATATGATAAGTTTCCCCTGTATTATGTTTAATGACTGAAAATCAGCTTTGCATATTTGATTTACGGTATATTTAATGAAAATTAAATTATAATATCTTTCATTTTAAATAGATTATTTTATTGTTGTTATTAATTTTATTTGTATAATATACTCATATAATCATTATGAGAACTGGCTAAGTTGATGTGAAATAGAATGATATTTATATAAATTAAATTAAGAGTGATTGGCAAATAAAATCTTTTGCAATTTGATAAATACATATATTTAATTCTATTGTTTCCCCTTGGTTCATATTAATCGATCATTTTCGTCATCCGTTCTTGCCTGATGTTATGGTCAATTTATATTCCCTTCACTACAGATGAATCATCTATGTGTAGTCTCATTACATATACAACAGTCGCCATGCTATTCCCGGTAGCCGAGTTTCGTATTCGTAGAAGCAATATATTTCTAAGAATTTATTCAACTAGATTTTCTTAGTGGTTAGAAACGTAAAAGGGCAAAGATTGCCTTAACGCCGCCGTCCGGCCGTTTGATTGAGGACATTTTTTTGACATGTTGGCTAGACATTCATTTATTAACGTTTAACACATGGCATGATTAAAGCTATTTTACAAATTACAAACATACTTTAATAAACTTATTCATTCATACAATTTAAACGTGATGTTATTTGGCTTTTTCAAACAATTAATTTTTATTCAGGCTACAGCTTTAAGATAATACTTTGAATGTATTATTTATGCCTATCAAAACGTTTTATATTTCGATTATCGATCAATATTAAATCAAGAACAAACTATAGGTACTTCAAAATTCATGTTTTTCTCGAGGCAGATAACAAGTCAATAAATTTATAATTTATATAGAACCATACATTTTTTCCTTCACCACGGACAAGCTAAATCATGTTAAATTACTGTCATAAATTTGTTAACTTTAAGTGCTATAATCTTACTAAATTATGTATCGTCTCAAGGTGTTGCTTTATCAATATTTCTGAAGTAAACGAGGGTCCAAACAAGTTCTGACCTTTCATGACATTTACTCAATAATTAGCCTAAATCGTACGCTTAATAGGTCATGCTTCCTGAAAGAATTTTATACAACACGGTCCCAAACTTTCTCAAAATGTCACCGCGAGTACTGGCCGTGAATTTAAGTCCGGTTTTTTATCGTGATGTCATCGAAGGTTTTAATTATTAACTATAACAGTTTTTATATATAAATATAAATTATATATAAAGAAGAATGCTCTTAATAAAATATATACATAAACCTTATTTTTATACTGATATAACGGTATCATGTACTGCAATTTGTTGAAAGCTTGCCTTATCTTGACTGCTTATTGCTTAATGGTGGTTATCGTCTACTACATAATTGTATTATATTCGCTTTTAATTAACGAGTTAAGAGAATTATTGTTAAATTGAGGCCTCCTTGGTTTGTTAAACTGTTGTCTTTATATGGTGCTGGAACTATTACCGTGTCTGTATAAAAAATATAACTAAAAGTTTTTATTTATAATATTTTAGACCTTTTCATTAATCTTTTTTTATTCCAAAAATAATTATTATTTTCACTAAGAATAATATATATAAAAAAAGGTTTTTATTCATGTATATATAATTTTTGTCACGTTTTTGATCTTAAAGAAAAACAAGATTAAAGTTATTGAACTCGTTCTGTTTCCGTTTTAATTTAAATCACGGTTAATACATTAACGGATCATTCCTGAAATTGGTGTTAAGAAATAAAATAAAGAAAACTGGGACGCATTACGGATTCATGTTAAAATGTATATATTTCTGGCATCCCGCCATTGTTTAGATGTGAAACTATCAAACTGAAACTGGCTATTTGATAAGTCACACTCGTTTTAGTCGATGACTTTACTCGAGCTATTAAAAAAACGAAACTACTAACCTGTATTCACAAAAGAATAGCGTTGGATCTTGTCGAAATATTTCCTATTCGTATTATATAGCTGTTTTATTAATAAGAATTGGGTTAATAGGATTTTGTAGCCATAACGTTATTTAAAACAATATACATATATAACTTTTAATTTGTAATCAGACATAAAATCCGAAGTTATTACTAGTATATAGGACGAATAAATTGAAGAAATGTACTAAAGTATCCGCCCACTTAGCAAACGTCTGCTCGAGGCAATGCAGTTGGATGAAGTCATAAAAGATATATAATAGATAACTTACAAAAGATTCTATTTATATACTTACTGTCAGTTCATTTATTACAGGCTAAAGTATTTGAGATATAACCCAATTTGGAAGAAACGTCGTATAATAGCGAGCCCAAACATACCAAGGTTGTTAATCATTATAAAAAAAAACGGAAAGCGGTTAGATCGATAGAATTTGCTATTTAATTAATTATAAAATGGGAAAAGTTGGAAATAAAGAAATCACTTTATTGCAGAATTCTTCGTTTATTATAAGCAAGGTCGTTCGTTATCGTGAGTCATATCTGCGTCACACGACTTCAAGTTGATTGTCTAATACCAGTATTGTGTGACGAATATTGACCCCATCGTATAAGTTATGCGTTTGATCATATGGAGGTATACTTTAAATAAAATGCGTTTGATTTTTTTATATATTCATATGTAAGTTTTCCTCATCATCCAGAGTATAGCAACATTCCCTAAAAGGCATCTTGCCCAGCCCGATCACCCACGCCACGCTCGTAATGGGCTGGCTCCTACGTTTACCATCCAACCTATTCATACTAACATAAGTTCCAAGAAATCTTATTATTGTTTTATTCATAAATTCTCGGCTTATCGAAGTAATCGTGAAGGAAAAATGCACTGTTAACGCGAAACCAGCCTCTCGGCAAGGTTACATCATGTATGTAGGTGATTCAGACACGTCCCCATTTGCATAATTTTAAATATTAACATATTTACTGCAATATTTCTTAATAAATTTGCATCTTTGTGTACATAAACATATTGAAGGTGACTTCCGTAAAAGTATGCAGTGACTTTGTAGATGGAATATGTCTTATCTATATATTTTTATATATTAAAGAAAGTTCTGTTAGTTACATTATTTATAACTCAAGAACGGCTGAAGAGATATGGTTGAAACAATGGAGGAGATATATTAGAATCAGAAGACGGACATAGTTCTAAAAAACTTAACAATACAAAAATCTGTTAATTAACTGCCTTTAGGGCGAAATACAGCTCGCCCGGTGAGCTATACATAATGACTAACGCCGAAATTAACAATGACGAAGTCGCGGGCAAAAACTAGTATATCACAGATGATGCTTCTATGATGTTTTTCATTAATTTCCAGGGCCACCGCCGCGGCTGGGGCTGAAGGCGGCGAGCCCCGGCGTGGACGAGGACTGCAACAGCAACACAAGCCTGGCTGGCAGCACTCACTCAGCACACGATGATCTCGACGCACACTGCGATAACTCCGGATACCTGTGGCTCCTTGACTACAAGTAACTATCACTTCATATAAACATACACTGACCATATCAACACAAGCATACGCGTGGCTTGAGTCATCATAATAAAACAACTGAGAACTTCCTGCCTAAGCAAATGAACACAAACTGATTCAACTTCTTTTAACAGTCAAAGCTAAATAGACTATTGTTAAAATGTATAACTAATAATGAGATCTAAGATATTCGTGAGTTTTAGTCATTTAAATGAAACTAATATTAATGATATCTCGTCTGCTCGTGATCACGGTTGCCGAAAAGTAGCTTAAACGTCGGGAGTATGTTTTTATCAAAAATAAAGTCGCGTAGTACATCCGATATAGTTTCATTTCGATGTAATACTAATTTACTGAACTCTAATATAAACAATGAACGTTTCAGTCCGATGTTTCGAGACGGTTCCTGTCATCATATATCAGTGTTGTCCTCTGTATCCGCCTCCTATAAGGGGATAAGCGATCTAACATCCCGCTTTGAATTCGCATCTCGGTACAAGGACATCGCTAGAGACCTGGACGCGAATCTCGCTGAGGCCGACATGGAGAGCTTCAAGACAGAAGACATCCACGCCCTCCTAATGACCGACCTGCCACATGACGTCATTGATGACGTCACACACGACGTAAGTTACAAACATAGAAACATTTCAGTTACATAATATGTATGTGAAAGTGTGATATTAGTTCAATGAAGCGTTTTCATGTAATGATTTGTGGACATTAATTCGTAATTGTCGAATGATTACTTTCGTTTCTCGAATGCGATATTAAATTGACAAATAGTGAAACTTTTAGCAATTTGCTTCTTTACCGAATAAGAATTCATATAAAATGTATATTATTTAAACAACTTGAGATAGCATCAAATACTTGAAGTATTTGATGCTATCTCAAGTTGTTTACTAATTATTTACTTCCTTATTCAACCAAAAGTACCGTCGGAGAACAAATTAGCAATCACTCTGATAATTACGTTGGACGTACAAGGAAGTGTCGGCCGTACCATAGCATGCCATAGTTAAAACATTTTCACAATTTCACTTCGCCTTATCTGTAACTTAACGAAGCAAACATTTTAAAATAAAATTACGTGTGAAATGTAACAAAGCAAGTGACTACTAAAATATATCGCTAGAAAGACGGAGAGCATTTGTTTTAAAAATAATTATATATAACTGAAAATAATAAGTAAATTAAACATTTTCAAAATTACATAATTAATTCCCTACATTTCGATACACTTTAATACAATCGTCTGCATTTAGTTCCAACATCACAAAATACCTAGTTGTTTTGCAGTATTTGCGTGTTCATAGGGTTAAAATTCAGTTATTTTATTTGTTATACTCCAAGGCTTGTTCTTTTCGGTCCAGCGCCCTCGACCTTGTTCTATCATCAATGTCATTGTATAACATAACTACTTTCATCTGTTATATTATATATTACAATTACAATATAGAGGAACAGTCTATAAAAAGTAACAACTAATATGACCAAATAGAGTCCAGTCTAGACTAACTAAGACTAGACTGAAGGCTGAAGTCACGGTTAAAAACTGACGTAGAAAGAAATTTAAAATTTCTATAAACATTTACGTATGTAAACTAATATTACGAACACTCAAAGAGATCTTACCTTGCTTAGGTCAAAGGTTTGTTAAGTAAATAAATGTTATTTTTAAAAATGAAGAACGTTTGTTATATATTTGGTGAACTTTTTAAATTCTTTATATATACATAGTTATTATATATAAAGTCTCTAAATAATATATCGCGACACTTATACATATATCATTATTATTTAAGTTTCAATTTTTAATTTCTAATATATATATTTTTTCTATTTTCAAATAATTCTATTAGTATTTTTTTAAATTTTAAATGATCAAATATTTTGTGAGAGTAGTAGAGGAGAGGTTTTTTTTAAATCGAATATAATTCCAAAATGTTTTTAACAACCATTTCAATTTCTAGAAATAAAAATACGTTAAACTAATTGTTTTGAAATGAAATTCATAATATAACTGTTATATTTATTAAAATGATTTTTAAAATAACGAACGATAATTAAACTAGCGATAAAAATCGCTTCGAATAAATTACAAAGAAAAAATACGCAATCAAAATCATAAAAGTGATGTAATAAAAAACTATTACGCAGATTAACATTAAAACCAGAAAATAAAAAAAAAGTGTACTAGTTTTTTGTCCAGGCTTCGTTCCAATGGTCTTGAAAATTTAGCTTGAAGATATAATTATGTTTATAGTATGTTAAAACATTATGGACACAAACAGGCAGCGACATCTATTGTCTGCGTCACGTATGTTCGAACACAGTACAACTTTACTATTACGGGAACTACACGGAATAAAAAAATAAATTGCCCATATCTTTCTGATATCTAAACAACATATCTGTAAAGTTTCATTAAAATACGTTTAGTAGTTTTTGATTTAATGAGTAACAAACATTCGCATATCCATACACGCACACAGATTTTGAATTTTATAATATAAGTTGGATCCAATTAATGTTATTTTCTTAGTAAGAACGGTTGAAAAATGTAACATGTTATCAAAAATACCTATTATTAATTCATTTGTTTTCGGTAATATTAAACTCATTAGTTTTCTGCGTAATGTATGAATCATGCGTTTATTGAATAAAAACAAATACATCATATATTTTTTTTATAATTCTATTATACACATTAAGGATAAATGAACACAATACATACACAAACATCGTTAAATAATTACATACTGGAATTAAACATTATAAGACCATTTAAGTAATATCACATATATTTTTATACATATAATAAATACAAATATAGCAATATACTTATTTTTTAATATTACAAAAGCATCTTAAAAATTATATAAATAGTCTGTACTCTTACAAAATCAATTAATTATTATTCACTTCTGCTTTGAGGTTTACTATTGTTTTATTATTAACAAAACAAAATATTTGTATGAAAACTTTCAAATTAACACTTGAACTTATTCACATTAATTTTATAATTATATGATTTTGAGCACTAAGTATGGGTTTGTTTAATATCAATGTATATATTAATAAAGTAGGTCTCATCTGGTTTAACGCCAGATGTTTTATAAGGACATGTGATAACAAACACGGCAAAATTCAGTATGTATTTTGCAACTACACTTAAAAGGACGTACAAGGTTGGCAAATAAAAAGTCGATATTTGAGTGTGTCACATAAATATGTCATAACATAACTGTTAATTAAAACTCATGAGACATGTGTCTAATAAATTTATATCAAATAATTGGTACAACAAATATGTTTATATATTCATTGTTCTATGAAATACAGGTCTGACTAAAATTTAATAGTGCTATGGATATGCTTTAAGTCAATGAAGACTGTAATTTTTTAATTCATTGAGTTTTATATATTTTATTTATTTGTTTTTCACTAACCTAATATTTAAATTAATGATCACTTGGGACAGGTAATCTTGTGTATCAGTATTTATGCTAATATGTCTTTCATCTAGTGATATTAAATTGTTCTATGCTTAAAGTCCCTTTGTAGTGGAGTAACAGACTTAAAGATTTTCTATGAGACCGTCTAAACTTTATTAAAATCCTTTAACATTTATATGTGTAGTTTATGATATTATAAATTATACATTATGCTGCCATAGAAACTTAATTTATGTAGTACCTAATCATTACTACTAATTATATAGCTATAGTGTTATTACTCCCTCGTTTACTTTAATTTTCCTATTAAAACTCAACAATAATGTAATAAAGTACGTGGTTTGATGTCCACTGGAAGCATGTAAACACATATTTGTCATACATGGAAATTTCTTATGGATAGCAGAGCCATCTGTCGGTAGAGATAAGAAATGAGTTATATCGCTGTCATTATATAGGAATGGTAATCTTTCAATGGTTTTATAACTTGGTACGGTACGTATCATATTGCAACCGTATAATATATTGCAACATTGCGATAGGTCAGTGGTTAACCGCCGTACGTAAGACAGATTCTTGAAAATCAAATACCTTAAACAACCGGTCCCTTCAAAGAGCACAGGATTCATTTAATATCAATTTAATTTATGCTAACATGACATCAATTTATGTTATGTATTCTTTTGAGTATTTTATATATTTTTATTATTTATATTGTCATTTAACATATTTCTTTTCAGTTGTGTACTAATACATAATTTGTTTATATGGATCCATTTCATGGTGTATTGCAGAGTAATCCTCAGGGCGAGATGTTTGCGAGTATATCGAGCTCACTATTGGAAAAGTTTCAATACGACAATTCTATGAGCGGAAGTAGTTTGCAGGTTCGCGTCGCTTTTCTCAATGCCGTGCTATTTTAATTGCCTAATGAGCTACATTACATCATTTCATGTCCGTTTAATACACGATTTAGTTCCGTTTCATTAACCACGCCACCTAGCGACCGCTTTCTAAACCTGAGGCACTACTTTCAATTTCATCTAACAGATGTCGCTTGCAGATTGTTTTGTTTCAATTTCAATTCAATATCAATCGAATTTAATTTCATTGAAACTATTTTCATGTCCTTTTTTAGATACAAATATGTGTTGGTGTAAGTTTTATTATTTTTTGTTTACGTTATTTGATACGCTATAGTCATTTCCAAAACATTATGGGTTATAACAGAATGATTGTGATACGTAATAGACGAGTCATCGGAATAGTTGGAAAGTCCAAAGTACTTGGCACGAATTCACAACGTTGCTTCCTATACCCCATAGTACGTCGATCCCACGGGATGCGAGTAGCGTGTAGATAAAATAGGAGCGCGATCTATGTGTGCGTGCGTTTGCGATGAATTGCGTCAATCGTTTCAAACACAATATTCATTCCCCTCATACTCATACCCTTATCATGCATGTGTGAGTGTGCTATATCTGTTCTATGTTAGTGTGCGTCGGACATACTGTGACCATGTGTGCGTCGCCAATGAAGTCAATCTAATAATCACATATTCTCAAACTGTTCATGAGCAGTTGACAATAAAAATCAAACCTAAATAATTTTTTATTTGTTGAACCATACATTAAACTTTAAATAATAACAATATTTACCGCATTAAGTATCTCGTACTATTCGTTTTAATTACAATCACTACTGCAATAAAGTCATTTGCGTTACATCGCCGGTACAGATAAGTCGCGTTAAAGTCATTCACAATTTTAATAGTTCATAAAGTTTGGGAAGCGCAGACGGTGGCTAATATTAAATTTAATATCCCCGGCCCCAGTAGCGCCCAGGGTTTTCGGGAGTGCTGTGCTCTCGTGTTGCAATGAAGTCAATAACATGTTATTCCACATATAAAGGAAAATTGCACATTTTACAAGACTTGGTAAATAATTGTGTGTGCGTCAGATAGGTATTGTGTATGAAGTTTTATAATAAAAGTGGACTGAATTATAATTAAATATAAACTACCGCCCAAGTGGTGACAAATGATATAGTGTTCCAATGTGTTCATATATTAAATAAATAAAAGTGTCGGAATAAAAAATGGGGGTGACGGAATACGATTGGGATACTTGCAATGGATACTATTCAGTAAGTAGACGATAGTTTTAAGAAACTTTATTACGAAATCCGTAGAACGTTCGAGCTTAAACTATTAAGATAATAAAGAAATATGCTTTCCAATTATAACAAAATATCTTTTATACTGTATGCACTAAGTGTATAGTGTTATTATCGATTATTGTTTATCAGTGTTTGTTGAGTTCGATACATTAATATGTAAATATCGGTAATCGGCTTCGCCAATATATTTGTATTTCAAGTTAGGTATAAAAGATATCGTTGTAATGACTTGTTTGAATTGTGACCTCATTTGTAGCAGGAAAGGAATTAAATGAATGATAACGCTCGCCCCAGTCATACTCCTGTTATGTTTCATAATGTTAAATATACTATAATATATAAGTTAGAACTGGAGTTATTAATCTTTTTTGAATAAAATATATGCACTTAAAACCAAAATCTATCTGAATTTCTTCAGCAACAATTGCCGAAGATACATATATATAACTCACGTAATATATAGGTAAAACGAAAGATATAAACGATTGGGTCGTGAAATATATATAGGAAATGTATTAAAACCGTGTAGTTCTTGCAGTAGGTAACAAATAAATGTTATTCGGTTGAAACTTTGCCACCGCCTAAAATACACTTGCACGTTAAAATTGTTTATGTTCAAACCTCGCTTGCGTTTTGAAATCTTCCTGTAATGTAAACGTTGAACTGAATACAAGAATTCGAATAACTTTTGATAAATATTTGTAACTTGAAAAAAATGTATGTAAAAACTTCCAATATGGTGTGGATGACGTATATTTTGTTCAATCAGGGCGAAGAGTCTGTCGGTTCCATCAATACGATGTCTATATGCAAGTCGGAGCTGTTATTTTCACCAGTGAAGGAAGGCGCCCATGGAGTCCACTTCAGCGTGGATAGTCTAGACTGTGAGCTGCCCACAGAACAAGATCTCATACTAACATGCCAGGCTAATAAAGATAACTATACCATCGCCTTCGAGGGCAGTCTCACCATTTACTCTGAGGACAGTGAGTGTGCTGAACCCGCCGTCAATCAAAAACATGGTATATACCCCTATATGCGCCTCAAACTGTTTGCTCATGACACAATGTTTGCTTGTGATTCATTATGTCTAAAGAATGATACATATCCACTTCATCATATTAATTATTTTTCAGACAAACTGGTTAAGGAGGATTTAGTTATAGGTTTAAATAGTGATGAAAGAACGCGCAGGAATTTAGAATTATTAGAAAGATGTAAAAATTTAACCAATAAGCTATCAACATCTATGGCTAGAAGCGATTTAGGATTAACTACGTGGAGTAAGCTTAAGAAACAAACCAATCAGTCGCCTTTACAGAGGTACATATAAATATTTACACTATAATGTAAACATTCTATTTTAAGACTTTCCTAAGATAACTTAATTAATGTGAATTACTTGTAGACATCCATCGGGAAACAATAACGAAGACTCACACGACTCCACCCAAGCCACTAATGAAATGAATAATTCGGTTATAAAAAGTCAAAGCTTACCAAACTTGTATAGAAGAAAACTGATGAGTAGTTCTATTAATTCCGCAGCATTAAGCAATTCAACCGTACGTATCTGAATGTGTTAATAAGTAATTATTAAAGCAATATTCCTCCGCCCGTAACTGCTTAACACTTTATTTTTTAGGTCGACTCCTTCTCAGCCAACCAGAGGTTAATTGGAACTTCGACATGTATGAAAGTGTATGACGTCTCACAAAATCGTCAATCACATACAAGTCAACATTCAGAACCCATGAGTACATCGTCTACTGACAACCAGACTTCAACGGATAAGAGTCAAACCAAACAACAGTCTTTTAACTTGGTTAAACTATTTATGAAACAAAAGAGCATCAGTAACGATGGTATCGTTGGCATGGATCAAATGGATAGGTCAGAGTGTTGGCCCTCTAGCTCGGGAGGGGAAAGCGGAGAATCTATGGGGGAACAGAGACTCTTAAAGACAACGATCTCAGAAAGACCCCAAGTAGAACTACCCCCTGAAGCCCTTGAAGATGATACAGCATCAGTTGTATACGATGAAATTAGACCAGCGAATCCATTTAATAGAGTGTACGACGAAGTACTTATTGAAGAAGAAGAGAATGATGGTTCTAAGTCGAGTGATAATGAAGCAAATCTTTACGCTGTAGTCAATAAACCACTCAGGAAGAGAACTAATTTAAACGTTATGAATAGTCCGAAACACAGACCGGGAAGAAAGTCGTGTTCCTCTCAATCATCAGCTACAAGTGTTAGTTTATCAAGTTGCTCTGAGTCAGATGGAACACAGATAACGAAAATGAACAAAATAAAAGAAAAGGAGTCCTTTGACACCAAGGCAACATCTACACATCTAGAGACTGAAACCATAGATAAAGGCATGCAGACGTCTAGCATGCAAGTTTCAACTGCCTCTCATGATCGGGAAATATTTAAAGTGGTCGAGGCTTCATTCTTAGAAAAATTAAAGGAGGGTGATTGTGAGAAACCAGTCTTTGTATTATATCCTAATTACACCCTGCCTGATATCAGCTTTCTAAATGGAAGACCAAATATATACTTAAATCCCGTTAAAGTCAATGTTTTGCCGAAATCGGATAAGAAGGGCAGAATGCAAGCCAAAGGTAAACGCCCCTTTTCATGCAACGATGTGGAAATGCTTAAGAAAAAAGGTTTGGGACACATAAGAGACTGGGATTCTCTAAACTTCCTTTTACCGATGGAATGTAGACAGCTGCTTTCAGAAGTTCCAGAATTAATGCAACATATGAAAGATAAAGAAACTGTAACAAAATGTGATAGATTTTGTAATGCATCGCTCGCTAAGCAAAAGAATCGACCCACGAGTTGTGATTGCAACAATCTGACTGGCAATACAGCTGTCTCATCCAGTTCAAGTACCGCGACCCAACCGTCATCTGGATATAGAGGATCTTCAACCATATTAACCGATTCATCGGCTCAAAACAGCCCAGCGCCCACTGGAAACTTCAATCCACTGTTCGTGTATCGATACGACAGTGCTACGAGCTCGGAAGCTAGCTGTGCAAACAACGAAGGCCAAAGAATGAACAAGAGACAGTTGTCGCTAGCAGACCAAACTAGAATATTGAAACAAGGAGAACTCGTTCCCCCCAGGCCGCCTCTACCAAAAAGTATTTTACGTAAATCCATGGATAAAACTCGCAAAACCAGTGCCCACACGAAACGTTACAGTATGTTCGAATTAGACGAATTCATTCAAGACCCAGTGGTGTGCGCACAAGCAGGTCTGGAACAGAAAAGTAAAAGAAGATCACTCCAAGAACCATATTATCTTCAAAATCAACCTACTCTAGACTACAGAAAGAACAACGACTTAGCTGCTAAGAGATTGTCACAACAATTTTTGGACGCGGCAGACAAAGATGCCGATTATAACGAGTACTACCAAGATGAAGGGGTCGGAACTGAAAGCAGTTTGGAATCAGGAAAATCCAATGAACTCAAGTTCCATCGCCCTCATACGCCGCCAATGCCTAAACCTAGAACAAAGAAAATCGAATACATAGATTTCCCTCCGCCCGGAGCACTCATCAGCAGTGCGGATCTACAGCAGTTGGAAGAATTTCTGAAATTAAGTGGCATTAACTGTCAAAACATGGACGAGTGGGACCAAAATCAAGTTCAAAAGGTAAGAAGTCAGGTTACCAAGTTCCTACAAATGAAACGTTCCCAGGAGGAGAATCAAAGGTCCACAGACTCCAGTACGAGTAGCTGTAACAGCAAGAAGTCTGTTAGCTTCGCTCAGAAGCAGGACGGTAAAGAGACTCAGACACAAACAAAGGCTGTTGAGGAACTTAAGGTAGCGACACTAGCCACGCCTCCCAACTCACCAAACGTATCAGCTATGGTAGCACAAAGGCACTATCAGGTAACTTATTAGCAGCCCTATTTTTCACCACTATGCCCGTTAGTGCCTTGTAAGTATTTTTGGTTATTTTATTTTAAGTTTGATTCATAGTCACCTTTTCATTTTTATTTTGTGAATGTTTCTTTGGTTCGCTTTTCGTTAGCTTCCTCGAAGAATCATTATAACACGTTTAAAGTTGACCCAAGTCTGAAATAGTTTTATTACTTGTAGGGCAAAAACTTGGCTGAAATACCTATCTGCGAAGAAGGAGAGGTTAGTCCCGATGAATTCCTGAGTCCAACTCACCACGAGACTCGTCCAAAGTATGACATCATCGACGTATCACAGAAACGAGGTCACTATAACTAAAACATTTTAATGAATATAATGTACAAGTAAACAATTAATATTCATTTTGTATTTTCATACAGCTTTAGTGTCAAATGTAACTGATGCCGTTGAGATGTTGATCCAGCACTTCTCATCAGCGATGGACCAACAGGAGTTAGCGTATTTAGGAGATTCAAAACAGTCTCCCGCGTGTGCTAAAATAGCATTAAACGCGTTGTGCCCAGCCCTATACGCTATATTCCGAGACGGTCTTAAAGAAAATATCGAGACCTCGTTTGGCGCGGTTAATAACTCCGTTTGGCAAATGGTTGAAGCTACTGCGAGGCAAGGTATGTAATAAAACGTTAAATCATTAATTAATATTCATTAAGTCTTTTAATTATATATTTTCATTATAGGACCCATAACGAAATCATTAAATGAACTGGTTTTAAGAATAAACAGCGAAGATGCAGTTACCGAGGGTCTTGTTAAGTTCAACGCCTTTATACTAGGATTATTAAAGTAAGTAATTCACGGACATGAACAGAATTGAACTTGAATCTTTTGGGATAAAGTGTTTTTATCAATTTAACATTTAAACTATCGTGACCTGACTCAATATTGTCATTTATTATTATATATCATATATAGTTGTATATTACTAATAAGTCTTTTATTTCAGTGCACAGTCAGTCGACGCTTGGGTATCGTACGTCCGAACAAGAGAATCAATTTTGGCAAAACACTACGATCAAGATTCTCTAGTACTAGCGGGTTGTGTTGGAGAGCCGCGCTGTAGGGCCTTACTGGATACACTACTGGCAAGTCTCGAGCCGCTGAAACTGTTGCCCTTCTCTCTAGACCTAATGTTCGAGATGAGGGAACTTCATAGGAGCTTCAAAAAGATAGAAAGCGACATGCGAGCAGCCAGTCGGGTGAGTTATCACAACTGTCATATCAAATATCCCCGCATACTCACTTAGCATAATATCAGCTGACATCCCTTTATTTGCATTTTACCGCATGTGCTTCAAGTACACGAATCACTGCGATTTTCGTGCACAGCTTCCATAAAATGCAAATAAAGTTCGACAGTAATAGGACTTAGATATTTACATCCTAACATTGTGATGCATGATAAATTTATATTTAACAGCCGACCTCGTTTAACACACCGCAACTAACAATCAATCAGAGAAATCTGCTCAAGTTAGTGAGATCGATGCAATCCAGTGTCGTGTCGAGTGACGACTGTCAGGCTAGCGTCATCATGAGGCAGAAGGAACCCAGGAACAAAGAGCCTTCCACTCCGGACTTACTGAATGATTCAGCTAATGTTAAGACTACCCTCGATAAGAATAGACCGAGATCGTGCGTCAATCCTACGCCTATAGGATACGATATGTGTCCGAACAACAGTAGGATAGATTTGGAGAACAACAGACGATGGTCCGGAGTTCAATTAGGATCCAAACTGATGCAGGCCTTCGATAGACTTGTATTCGACGACAGCGATGATTACACTGACAGTCTAGAACATAAGACCTCCGCTAAAACTAACGACGCCAAGGTAACTTGGACGGATATGTCATGTGTGGACCCGCTTTGTTTGTCCTTCATGTACGCTTGGCGCTTAGATGTTTTGTGTTAATTTTTGTTTGCGTTTAGTTTTATTCGGCTTATGTTCATACCACTGGACCGAGCTTATGTAATGACACCAGGAAATATCCGTGACGCGGCACTCGGCTTAACACTAGTTGCGGTTTATGTCCTCGTGTATCACTCCACTGTAATAAATATCATGCATGACTTATATATACATACACTGTTTCACAAAAACCTTTGTTCGATATTTAAACACATATGTATAAGCTTTACCTCGTACTATAGAATTTTTGAATTTTTAATATTTTTAATAGCTATTTTTTGACATGATATTAGATTATTTGAGGTATATTAAATAGGTTGTGTTATTAATGTGGTTATTGAATCCCAGTTGGATACGAGCGGGGAGGAACAATGGCGGCCACCGTCAGCCAGCAGCAGCGCCAGTGGTCAAGGCTCCGGCGGCAAGTTCCGGAGACTACAGCTCAAGTGGGAAATGCTCAGTAACGCTGAAAGCCCCGGGACGCCATCTGGTGAGTGATTAATTTGAAAATGGAACTCTATACACAGTATTACAAAAGAGATTGCATTTTAATATTTTTTTTACTTTGATATGAAAACGTATATGTCATCTAACTAGTTAAAAGCTGCCAGCGTTTTTATTATCGGAATAATTCTAAATCTTTATTAATCCGAGCACGTGACTCTAAAGAAAGATCGCGATTTTATATTTACTACCGAAGAATGTTTCCGTCTAACTCCTAGCATACTGATAATGTTTGTTATGAAACAATAAGCGACACTCACTAATATGGGCAACACACAAAATGACGACTTCCGATGTACTACCGCTACATACCACCTTTATGTGGCTAAAATATTTAATTCATTTAATACGATGAATTTGATTTCAAAAGTTTTAATATTACACGTAATAAATTAAGTCTAGTATAAACCTAAAACATTCTGTGTCAAATGAAACGGTAAACCTAATTTTATTGTACCAAAATCCTTTCAAAATAGAAATTCCGGACAATAATATATCATATTTTAATAATGTTACGTCGCAGACAGAACTTACATTCTACAAATTCCATTCCACAAACCAAACTAGACTTTATAGCTGACAGATGGAATTACTTTATGTGCTACTTAAATGTTTACAATAATAATATAAACCAAACATCTATTATAGTGTTCTCACTATTTAAAGAGCTATTTTATCGAAGTGTACAAAATTAAAGCGTTTTTGAAATAATCTCTTGTGCCTGTATATCAAGACCTACTAAATGACTGGGGCTTGTCTAGAACTAATATGAATTAATTCTTAGAACGTACGTCGAAGTCAGCCATAGTAGGTTTTTTCCAAATTTGGTTAGGTAATAGAGGAGTTTGGACGGTGGAGGTGAGCGTTTAACGCAATAAGGACCTTTAAATCTACACCTGGGTCGCAAGTCCCAGGCACTGTTGAAGCACTCCATACAACGCGATGGACCCGGCAACATATGAATACATATATTGAATGCTAATAAGAGGTTTTTTTTCTATGTGCAGGTGAAACTTCCCCCGCGGCTGCTCGGGGCTCCAAAATACCCCGACCAGTTTCATCACCGGTCAGACCCCAAGCTCCCCCAATACAATCGCCAGCCAAAAACACGCAACACAGGTAAGAAAATATACAACCATCAAACAATATACCGATTAAAATAAATATTTTGTTTTGTTTCATATATAAAAAAAACAAATTTAATGGACCATTATCGTGTTTAAAATGTATAATAAACAAGTAAATGTGACCTCGCTTTAACATCGCATATTATGAAGCTGTTTGTTCAAGGACAAGGGTTGTTTTGTTCGTCGAATAGGGTCGCGACCCCATGCAGCAAGATTATTATTATTGAATTTACACCCAAAACAAATTTAAGTTCGTAATAATTTTAATTTCATTCAAATATCATCACGAATACTTAATAGAGTGTGAAAGTTAAACAATTTGTTTACAAAATTACTAATTACATAGAAATATTAATACAAAATATTTTGTTATCTATTATTTAAACAAAATAAACTTATCTTCTCCATTATTATGCTTTCAAATTGATTAAAATAATAGATATTCAACTAATAATAAAGTTATTTAATATATTAACAATAATTTTACAGAGGTATCCCAGTAGCTGTACGTAAAGGTTCTTCCCCGACGACAGCAGCGCCTCGAGCGGCCAACACAAGAAACAAAAAACCACCTCAGCCAGCCAACCGGTATAATAACACAAAATATAACAATCTGTATATAAAAAATTGTTTTTAATAGCACTTGGTGTATGGACTTCTATATTATTTTGTTACATTGGGTCTTTTTATCCAGCACTTAGAACAGCTTGATATATTTTTTACGCACACTCCAGGGTTATGCCCGAGAAGGCGGCAGGAAGACCGGAAATAAGAAAAAATGTAGCTGTTAAAAACACTATCGGTGCTAAGAACACGCTGTATGTATTGTATACAGGGGGATGTATTATATATAACCTACTGGCATATGCACGATATACCTTATGAACTGCGATTTATATAAAAAATATATTTATTTAATACAAATGCCTAACACATTTAATGCATGACTCACGAGTATTTTGCTATTAACTTAAAAATATCTTGCGTCTTTCTTAACAATCATAACTCCTTATATATTATTGGCTTTATAATTATCTAAAAAATATATAATAATAATTTTAAGGCGGATTGAAAACACTTTTATTCTATTTTTTGTTTTTTACTAATCTAGACTTATTAAGTAATCAAAGTGATAAGAATTTAAATTACTTAATGACGTTGATTGATTTTGTATTTCAAAAGAAGAAATCCCTTGAAAGTGTTTATACATATTTAAAATTATTAACTCAATGCTCGTAAATCGTAATGCTCTTTTATTCATTCAATTTTTTCTCTTTATAAACTCCTCTTATTAGTAAAGTGACAACCTCCATTTTATACTAAAATATAAAAATGAACTATGTAACACGTATTTCATTTAATTCACAGTGCATAGTAACAATACAGTCGTGATTTAAGTTATGTCATTTATTATAATGGTTTTCTATGTATCGTACAGCGCGTCCCGTGTTGACGGCATTACTACGGCGAGTCCCCGGCCGTCGTCTCTGCCGTATGGACGAGCCGCCCCCCCTCCCGCACCGCGCCGCGCCGCCTCCTCCTCCGCCACGCGAGCGACAAACATTAAACACAAGTAATACACACAAAAACACAAGACATCTACAACACAACCACACATACACACACAAGCAGTATACACATCCAAACAGATGTAAAACACGTAATACACACACAAACAGATACATACATACAAACAAATGTACATTATAAACCATGCTGATAATTTTGGTCTAAAATTTGGCAAAACATAATTACAGGAAGTGAAACAATTTTAAAGTTCAACAAAGAGCTCCAACTTTGCCAGAGGTGACTCACGTACAATATCTCCGAACCAAAAATAACTAATATCGTTCACCTTTCAGATACGTCCGAACTCTATGGCACAGACTGCCTTCAGACTCGGGACACCTGGCGTTCAACGAGGGTGAGAGGCTGCGGCTTATACTGGAAGTGGACGGACAGTATTTATTGTGTTGTAGAGGAGAACAGAAGGGACTCGTGCCGCGGGACGCTGTGCTCGACGACTTCTGATACTGGCCGGGGTAGCGCTGGCGACCAATCAGCGCCAACAACACACACTAGACGCCAATCAGTGGCCAGCTAGTGGCCAAGTGCTGTCCAACACAACCAATGACTTGTATCAAGTGTGCAATAAAGTTACGTACAGTACAGTGTATAGTGAAACGGATTTAAACAATTCGATATTTAAATTACCTATGTAGTTACTAAACGATACCCGAAATGATCATACTGGCCAGGGACTACTGTGACTGATAAATTATAATATTGTATCGATTATTATTTTAAGTTTAATATTATTTATTTTATTATTAGAGGTCATTTGAGTTTGTTCCGCACGTTCCGCGGTAGTCCCTGGCCGTCGTCACTGAACATGTCGCACATTTTAATTCTGTAGTAAAATCTAGTCTTACGTTAAGGCGCGACTCGGACTGTATATAATGTTGTAAGGACACATACTGCTGCGATGTTTTGTACGAGCGTCGGAACTAACGTCGAGTCGCTCGATATTAAATGTCCCGCAAACGGATGTGATATAGTTTAGATAAGGAAACAATCTCGTGTATGAATGTAGACTCGCGGCCGGGGAGAGACGCCGGGCGAAACTAGTTATATTGGAATTGATGTCTAAATATGATATTGTATTATACCTAGTGATGTTTAATTCTCGTGTACATATTATAAACAGCGTTAATGGCTAAAATATATAAAAATATAGGTGCTTCGTATTCAACTAGTGTTCTCCGGTGTAACCACAGATAAGTTCTCGACCACTAACAGCATGCGGCCTCTCCTCCAGCCATCCTTTATATGTGGTTTCATTGTCCTCGTACGATGTAGGAAGCTAACACACACGTGTCACTAACCGCATGGCCTTCCACGATTCCTCTCCTTATACTTTCTACTCGTATTTCCAGAACGTTCTACGGTGATGTAATATTTTATTCGTACTGACCGCATGCGTCCCCCCACTTCTCCTTCCAAACACTGATAGAACGTCCCGCCATAGTAATATCACCCTTATACATTTGTATTACGAGCTATTATCCCACACTCCCGGACACTTCTTTCGATGCCAGGTTACCTGTTATGTGATAAATCATATCACCGCTTGAAGCCGGCGACGGATAAAAATGATATTTTTGGTACGCGTATTGCTCAAGATATTAAATGTACGAACGTAAGTTATAATACTCTATGGCTACTCGTGTTTGTAAATATTTATCGGTAGTGAATATTAAAGAAATATATATCAAAATTGTAACGAAAAATTAATTCGAATGCACGATACAGTTCCTCATAGTCGGTCGTGCTGTGTTAGAACAAGTAGCGGCGTCTCCTCCGACCGGCGACTCGTCTCCACGCGTTACTTATGTTACTGTATAGCGAATATTTATACAAATAGACTTAATGTTGCTCGTAGTGAATGTATAGACATTATCATGTTAGTGTAATCCGCTTGTGACTGGATGTGATGTGGCCTTTTTGTATGTAATTAAGTGATATTAATGCGTGTGTGTGTGTGTGTGTGCTTGCATCTGTCTTATCTCCTCACCGGGTCGCTTCCATGTAAAGTATGGTGATGTAAACGGTATATGCCTTAATATGTACACGACGCGATGTATCGACTCGCTTGAAGCTTGGAATCAATCGCTTGGGGCGCATGTTGTGTTTGTTAGTTGTAAGTTTTTATCAACCGTGTGTATTGAGAGAGAGTTTTATAAATATTCCTGCGCGCTCATTAGAATGCTAAGTGTGAGTGGTGAGATGTCCTCTACTGGTACAAACGGTTAAGTTATTTTATTTACGTGTACATTATTATTATTTTTTTAATTTTTAATTATGATTGGGAACAATAAGTTGAAATTTTGAGTTGAAGATTTTATTTTCTTAAGAAAAAAATATATGCGAAAATATATTTAAAAAAAAAAAGAGAATCGTACAAATACGAAACTCGACGAACGACTGAGACATTATTCCGAATATTTTATAAGTTTACCGAGAAATCATTGTTTCATTAGACATTCATTATTCATATATATATTGTTTAAACTTATTATGTTAAGTGCCATAATTTAATGAATTAACAATTAATAATTATTATAATGCATAACCATGTACACCAATAAACAATATTAAAAACATAATATAATGTTGTTTCAATATAAAAACCTGCAGCTTTCATGGTGAATATTAAGGCGATTGGTCGAAATATGATACACCTTATCACAACATTTTATATAATTTTAATATAGGAATTTTATTATTTCTATACTGATTCAAGAATAATTATCAAATGACTTTTAATTGGTTATATTTTAATGGAAATAATTTCAGAGACTCATTTCAAAGATGTGATCTTAATTAGGATGTAATTTAACAAAGATGAAAAAATAAAATCAAATCATTTTCTATATCTTTATTTAGATAAAATTTTAAAGACAACAATGCACATTTCAACAACTAAGCTCTAAGTGTAAGTCACATTATTTCAACTGAAAGTGTTTTTGTATTATTCTAGAAACTATCGATAACTAGCTTTCCGCCCGCAGCTTCGCCGCGTGGAGTTCGGTTATATCGCGTTTCCAAGAGAACCTTTCAAAAGTCTGGGATAAAAACTATCCTATGTTCTTTCTCAAGGTCAACTCTATCTCTGTACCGAATTTCATTAAAATCAGTTCAGTGGTTTAGGCGTGAAAGCGTAGCAGACAGACAGACAGACAGAGTTACTTTCGCATTTATAATATTAGTAGGGATGATTGAAATCAATATACTCATTTTATTATTCACTTCAATAGTGATTTTTTTAATTAAATCCAGAGTCTAATAATTTTATTACCAAGAATTGAACTGAACTGTTTCAATTTATTAAATTTTATACATATTTAAAAAAAATATTACGAGCAATTAACATATGCCCCTCTTTTGTTCAATAACCCATTTAAATTCTTCATTAAAATTATAGCAAATTAAGATCTACATATTTATTTAATCGGTATAAGACGTTCAAGAACACGATTTTAACTGAACTTTAAACAAGATGAGACGTTGTGTGTTTAAATATTTCGTTACGTTCTAAGTGTTAAGGTAAACTGCAATAACTCTAATAATATTACAAGATATTTAACAATCATCTACGTGATTGCTTATATAACATTAAATTCTATTGAACATAAAACAAAATTGAACATGTATGTGTTATTTGACGTTAAATTAGTATATAAATAATAAACATATACCTACATTGTTGTGCTCAACATTTCCTATACACAAGTACAAATCTATTCCTAATATGTGCAATGTATGTAGATCTTACGCTATTTAATTCCGTGCTTGATACAATACTATAAATCATATAAATTAATGCAAAATTTTGATATAAGAATTTCCTTTAAAAAAATTCATTAATGCATTCAAAAGTTCGCATTTTAAAAACACACAGATTTTAATAGGAGAATACATACTAAAGGTGGGTCTAATATACGGAAAACGCTGGTCTGTGAGTGAGACTTGTTCGTCTGGAGCAAGATGTTCTAGTGTTGTTCCTGACGGCTGCACGCTCACGGCGAGGGCTGAGGGTGCGAGGAGTAAGGGGTGCTCGAGGGGTGAGGGGTGCGTTAGACGCTAGGGGTGCGCGAGGAGTACGGGTGAAGCGGGCCGAGCGGCTTCGAGACAACGGACGGTCACCCCAGTCAGATACGTAGTCGTCCTGTAGAGAATATAAACACGATTAATATATAAACAAATACAATATATATGTATTATAATTAATTTATTATTATATGGTAAAGTCAAAAATAGTTAGGAAGTTTACGTTAAAAAAATTCGATCGTTTGAAATTCTATGATGTAACAAAAGTTTAAAAAAGGAATATTATTTAATTTAACTTTCAAAAAGAAAAAGTAAATAAAGCGGAACTTACCAGCGATATATATTTTGTGAAGACATTTCCAACAACTAAAGTGATAGTGCATCGTGTTGGTAAATTTTACAGAGCTACGTTCATCACTAGAATGAATTGTGTCTCAACTTACACGACAGCTATTGAAAGATGATGAAGCGTTGAAAATAAAACAATAATAGAGACGTTAACTTGTATTAAAAATTAGTTTTACCAAATATCATACCTTTTTAATTCACAATAACGTGATTAATGTTATAAGTTTGAATAATGTACCGCTACAATCATTTCAAGGTATAATACTTAAAAATATCAAATTTAAATCGCTCATATTACAAATGTATTGAATATAAATCTCAAAATTACAATCGTCTAAGGTTCGGGGCGTGAAAAATTATAATATACGTCAATAATAATCATAAATGCAAAAACTTGTTATCATTTCACGTTAGTGGCGATGAGAATGATGTGTACGAAGCATTTATACGACTATCTAAAACTAATTAGTATTTATAACAGTAGTCACATATAACATTAAATAACTTAATAATAATTCTTCTCAGTCGATCACTAACCCTCAATTTCTCGTTTCAGCACTTCAAATGTAAAAATATAAAAGATGACGTAATACTTTCGTCCTTCAAGTTTAGAGGCAAGGTGAATATCAAAATTTTATAATAAAAACAGTACCTGGTGCTGAATCGAGAATTTCATTCGTTATGATTAAACACTCCGTTATATACCAACTCCTTCATTTCATACAAACTACAAGAACTCAACACATGGGAAATAAAACAACAATGTTGAATCTAAATATATAAATTGAAAACAATGCAGACGTCAAAACACATTTAACACAGTGTGCAATTTTAGTTTAAAAATCTGTCTACTGTCTAGTGCATACTTTGGCAGCAAAATATATCATTGCCATAACTAACATCCGTTGCATTAAAAATAATATAAATATTTTTTGTATATATATATTGGTTGCCAATAATTTTTATTCACGATCTATTTAAACCACTGAAGACTAATATATTTAATATTATATTGTTATAGTAATAATTAAATCGATTCCGTTACATATTAATTATTGGCACTCGACCTTTTTTTGACGCGTGTCTAAAGAATATACCTTTTAGTCACAGCTAATTTTAATCTAAGGGAACATTTATTCATGGATATTACCTATCAACTATTAAAGAACATATTGCCTAGAACGATATGCCTAATAGCGGACAAATTGCAGTCAAAGTATTTAATAAAATAAATTGAACAATTCACAAAACAATCACCAATGATTTGGAGGTACATTGAATGTAATTATAAATTAGGTTAAATAAAATACAAAAATTTGGACTCTCGCTTATTAAAATCGTAATATAAAGGGGATGTGCTTAACACTGCTGCTGATTCAGATTCTCATCTGCTTTCGAAGCCTGTGCTGACGGCGGTACTGGACTCTGTGGAAATATTAATATATTATAATGTCTAATTAACATCGATCGTTGCAAAATAAAACAAAACCAAAATAAAATCATAAAATAATCGAAGAAGAGGAAGCTGTTAAGGAAAATCAACAACCAAAACCAAACAAAATGAAACAAAAAAAAAAAGATGGATTAGTGACAAATTGACAATGAACACGTTCGGATACCTCGAAACACCAAAAAATGATTCAATAGAACGTGTACAAATACTCTGGCTGAAACAAACGAAAACGAAAAAAATGATAACGATGAGCCATCACCGGGATGATAACAACATAAAATGATTCTATGAGCTTGTGGTAGTGGGGGCTCGCCCTCACCTCCTGTCGTGAAAATCCGCTCGGCTGAGGAGACACTCCTCCTATCTGCTTGATGTAATCTTTATCATCAAATATCTTGATATCACCGCCACCGGGTTTGTGTTTCACGTTGTCCAAAGACCCGACTTTACTTTGAGCTTTGAATTCCAATTTTTGATTCTCAATCTGTGTAAGACATGTGCAATAAAATACATCTACATATATATGTGCGTTATATATACAGTAATTTATATTATGCGTTCGTTTTTCGTACATTATTGATGTCGGTGAGATAATTAGCGTATAGTGTTGAATATATAAAATAAATTGTAAAATATATAAAAATAAGCTTGTACACAATAATAATCAGGAGGTTTGATTTTGTGTGTAAATATAAACTTGAATAAATTTTGTATAAGCAATCGGAACGCAGCCTAACATAAACATATCAGCATACAACATTCAATTTTATAGTCTGTGCTATGATTTTATGTTCCTATCTTAAACATATGTTTCATAAATAAAATAAATCGATCGGTGAATAAATAAATGCAAACATTCTCATTCGTAACGGTAACAATAATATGTTCTGTGATGTGATAACATTCCAAGTATCATCCATCGTCCTATAGACTCCTTCGCTAATAATTTTCAACGAGCGTAAATACATCAAATTATTCAATTTACCGACTTCCAGCGAAGTATTTTCAAATATCATCTATTCGATGCTCTCCAACGAGGTAACTCCCATTTTATGAACTAGAAGTCAGTTGGTATTGTTTACATAAATATCCATATAACAAATAAGTATTGCTTGATCTATCTTAAACACGATATATTAAATGTAATTATAGATATATATAATAGTGCAAACGCAGCGAATGAGACGACTATTTGTAAGCTTTACAGACATTGTTTTTATAAAGATTACATGACTCACCGTTTTCTTCTCGGTGCTTGCAAAGTTCTACAAATACATCAAAAACATTTTAAATTACGAAATTTTGTGATTCTAACTACCCAAGAGATTTATTACCGGTGCTTATGACTTGTGACCGAGTTACATATACTTATTGAATCGTCATATACTCACATGAGGTTCCTAACTAAATATTTCGTACCATATATCCGTATAGTACAATGTGCCTTACCTTAATAGTTCCACCGCCTGGTTTGTGTGTAATGTTAACGGTGGACGCGACCTTTGGCTTCGCTTTTTCCTTAAAGTCCAATTTCACTGTTTCTATCTTCTTATCTCCTCCGCCTGGTTTGTATGCGGCGTTTTGTAGTGAACCGATCTTTGATTTGGCGTTCCATTCTAGTTTTGTGGTTGTGATCTGTTAAAGAAAATCACTTATTTTATATTATCAAATCTCCTTTTACCTGGCAATTTCCAAGCTTTAGCCAGGGTCTGCCTTACATGTAGTGAATAGTTTTGGCTAATCGTTTTTACGACCGGCCGCCTGCATGACATCAACCTTCTTTAGGGAATGCATTAATCAGTGATGTCAAAATATTCTTAGAAACTAGAAAGTACATATGACTAGCAAGAAATCACATTGGTACATGCCCGGGCCAGGATCGGGACCCGCGCTCTTGTGCATGAAAGGCGGGCTTTTTAACCACTAGGCCATTACTTACTTTATATTGTCAAATCTTAGTGTGGAATCTTACATTAAGGTAAGGGCTAATGGTTTACCTTTTTAGCTCCACCACTCGGAGTGTACGCATCATTTTTCGCAGCGATTTTAGGAGTGACGTTATTGAAATCGAGCTTCCTGTTCTCTATTTTGACTTTTCCACCGCCAGGTTTGTACGTTGTGTTCTCCAAAGAACCAATTTTCGATTTTACGGCTTTAATGTTTGGTGATGGTGCGCTGCCTACTTGAACTTTGTTCATGGGGACTTCTAAAAGAATAAATTATTATTATTTTATATATTGTACTGTCATATTATAATTAATCGAAGGTTGTTAATCTTACTTTTCTTCTCGCCGGGTTGTGGTGTTTCAGGAGTCTTGGCCGTTGCACTCTTGCTTGATGAACGTGATAGACTTTGCTTTAAACTGCTGCTTGATTTTTCCTTCGTCGGCAATTTGCTAGGGAGCTTCTTGTTCGGTGAACTTGGCGAGCCATTAAGATCCTGAAAGAATTTCAACGGTACTATTGAATACGTACACTTAAATACCTTCTTTATAAAAAAAATTTATTAATATTGACGGTTTACTATGCGTTACTTTATTATTTTAAAAACTACGTACTTGCAGCAACCGTGATCACGATAATTTTGGAATGCTGTTTTCTTACTGAACTGTTTCATTAGTACCTTTCTTATTAAACTATTTTGAGATCAACTAAACGTTTGTGAGTATAGACGTTACTTACGTTTCCTTGAGTAGATTCGTCTACACCGCTGTCATTGTCCCCATCTATAAATTAATGTGACACAATTTATATAAAAAATAAAAATGTATAAAATAATTAATTTATAAATCTCTCTTAAGTTTGGTTCATTTTTAAATGCTCATTATAAACAATAAATACATTGATCACCTTTAGTACGCGAAGCTGGTGCAGAAACGATTTTGCGTGGTGTTGATTTTTTAGAATCATTTGGTGTTACAGAAGTTTTAAGTTCAGTTGGTTTATGATTTGCAGAAGTAACACGTTTTGAATTTACTGGTGATTTCGCCTCATAAATTGGAGACTTTGCTGCATTTTTAGTAGGCGTTTCTTTTGGTTTTATATCTTTAACTGGCTCTTGTTTTATTTCTGGTTTTAGGTCGGATTTCGGTGTTTTTGGACGTTGTGGCTCAGGTGTAGTAGAGGTGGGAGATTTCCTTGTTTGCACAGGAGGCTGTGGTGCGGCTTTAGGTTCTGGCGAATCATCACTTCTAGTTAAAGATGGAGAGCGGTCGGAGAGATCAGTTTTATTTTGACTTATATCCAGCTTTGCTGCAGACGGGTTGCTCTGTGCGATGACGTCATCATCATCGTCTGCTTTCTTTTTAGATGACAGGTTTGACAAAGATCCCATGAAGGATTCTGTCATTTTGGACCCATTCAATCGAGACTCTGGACGTTCAGGGATATCTTTGGCCCCATCGTTGGATGCTTCGGATCGAACACTTTCTTTGGAGCCAAGAATATTATCTTTACTGCCTTTCATTTCCTGTATCAAACTTAGCCCTGGACTACGACTGGTCAATTCATCGTACCGTCCACTTACAGCACTCACTGATTTTCGTCTATCATCTTCCGTTTTCAAAGGGCTTGGTGCCCCAGGAGCGGCTGCAATGCTGTAGCTCCTACCTTTAACCGCTCCCGGAACTTCGTAGGCATTTTCCGGTTTCCCATTTTGATTTTCGCTGGATGGCGTTTGGTTCTCCAGGTTGACTGGTTTGTTTTGGATGGAGTTAATAGAGTCACTACTCTTTGGAGGGCCTTGTATTGGCTGGCTTGAAATTTGTGCGTTTATTGGAGCATTTAATGTAGTACCGTTTTTATAAGATCCGTTGGATGGAAGTGCAGGTGGCCTGGAACCTTCTGGGGTTGTAACGTTTCCAAATTGTGGAGGTTGTCTAGGACCAAACTGTAGATTGTTTGGTACTGGTCCCCGCTGGGGTGGCTGGGTAAGTGTTGGAGACTGGATAGGTCTAGGACCTTGAGATGTAAACTGTTGTGGACCTAATGGACGCAAAATAGGTTGTTGACCTCGGATTTGTGGGGATCCTGGAGGACCCACTGGAGCCTGTCCTCTTTGAGCTGGGTTCGTAGGCCGAGGTGCAAATTGTGGTTGAGAATTAACAGTCCCTGGTTGAAATTGAGGCCTCTGTTGTAATTGGGGTGCTCCTAGTCGGAGAGACTGCGGCGGAAAAGCTGATCGAGAATCCGCTCTCGTTAACGGTGGACGAGCCGGAAGATTCTGAGTTGCCGCACCTTCTGAATTGATAGCCCCACCCTGATTCCGAGGCTCAACTGAAGCCTTAAATAAATCAGGGCATCTTAATAATATGAATATAAATTAAAACGGTTCTTAATGTAAAACTAATTAAATTAAGCCTAGAGAGTTAATAAACTTAATTATCACTAATTCTTTATTAAATTAGATACATACTAAGTATGTGCAGGTAAGTCTCTTCTATCCTGTTGATAACGATCATCTTATGTAAGTAGTAGATTATAACATTATTTAGAAATATATTTAGTAAGTCTTTATCAAGCACTGATATATTTTGAAAACATAAAATCCGTGTCGACATGTTTGTATAATAAAATTGCTTTTATCAATAACCGATGTCATGCGCGTACCGTGTAATATAAAGACAACAAATATATTGTGTAAATAAATAAATGGTACCTCAAACATGCCTTTTCTAGACATTGCGTGTTTCGATATCGCGAGCATGTGGGGTGGATCGATAAAATTCTGGTACACGGTACTATCCCACCACACGTTACCGAAAGGTCATAATGATAGCGTGTCGATCTTATGTAACCAAACTCTTATAAAAGTAACAAACTATAGTAAATTTTTACGTTACTTTGTAACCCGCGAATAAAAATATTCCATACCTTTATTATAATAAGATTTAAAACCTTAATCGAGTTTGAATTATTGCTTGTTTTCGTGCTTGCTTTTGCCATTGCCGTCCTTTCGACATCATAACAATAAATATTTGCATACATTGTACTCTTTGAACTTTTATTTAATTTTATGTGAAAGGATTTTTGTATAAAGTGACTTTTAAACTTTTATTATTTAATTTAATCGGAATTATATATAAATTATTTGAAAAACAGCAATGAATCGTTTTAAATGAAATGTTTTTCTGAAAGTGGTCTTCGATAAGTTCTCTATAAAGAAACTCGTATTGCAAAAGTTTGTTCCCGAGACTTTTGTTATTTATGAGGTCATAATAAAAAAACTTAACAAAATTATTTTATGCAAAAACTTTTATATGAATACTCTTTGTGTTAGGTAAAAAAAAACGTAATAAAACATATGTTTCTCACAATTTTAATATAATGTACTATTTATAATATGATATTCCCGTATCAAATAGTGAGCAAAAAACTATTTTTAGTTATGAATGTTCTAAACTATATTGGACACAATTAGCAAGCAGCTAAATTAATCGTACGCATTTCATATAAATAGAAATTATTACTGAATTACTTATGAATAATTTATAATGTTATTTTTTTTGGATGTGTCAAAAACCAGTGCTACAAGTGATTGTCTAATAAGTCTAGTTCCTGTTAATATTCTTAATAGTTCATGGGTTTTTTCTAAACTAAGTGCTTTTTCCACGGTTTTCATTGTGCTGTCAGCCTCAGGGCTTACCCGATTGACGTTGTTACTCGGTAATTGCTCCATATTATTTACTATCGCAAAATTCTGGAGCAATAAAGCCTTTATGGCATAATCTTCACGCGATGCTAGTCGTCTTTTTGCGATATCTCCTTGAAACTATAAAAACAATATATTTAATAGCTATCCAAAAGTTTTTAATCCACGTGATCGGTGCCATTTTATTGAATATAGTTCAAACTACGTTGCCATCTAATATGTATCAGAAACCAGCTACGTGGTACCAGTTAAGTGCGATTCCAAGTATTTTTTTGTATCTACGAATGATAATTTGAAAGTGAATGAATGACGTCTTATAAATTCATCATTAAATGACGAAGATACTTGATGTCAGGTGACTAATATGAAAAGGCTTGACGTCTTTTTTATATGACAGGTATTAAAAAACTTGATGATAATATTAGTCATTATTCACCAATTATATTGATTTATGGGATATTTAAATTAAAATATGGACATTAAGAACTTAATAAGTTCAGATGTACCTAGTCTTTTTTTTACCTTTTTAAAAACAAAACTACCATTGTTTTCGGTTTACACAACAAGTTCCTAAATGTGGGTCAAATTTATGCGGCTGTTAAAAGAAAGAAAACATTTCGAAGGTAAAGGCGCAACGGATTTGTTTTTGGGCGTGGCTTTTGAGTGGCTCCGAGGGCCTTTTCTACCTCAGTTGTGATTTCACTTTGTTAAACAATTATAAATCATTTAGAGCACGCAATGAGATTCTTATCTTGCCTTACATTGTAAATTTGTTTGTTTATACTTTTTTCACAATTTCCTTAGAGGAAAACTGACCAAGTATATCAAAACAGTTTCTAAGTATTCAAAGTCATAAACACTACTTGAAATGACCTAGAATATACATATACATATGTACTTAGTAAAAGAAATAGGTTGAATTATCTATATACGTATCGATAGGTACATATTTCTGCAGCGCGGTAACATGAGGAGATCGTCGATACATAGCGTAACGGACGTTGGACCCGTCGCTTAATTGACATCATTTTATTTCTCAACTATTAATTAACCCGGCAGTTTTAAATTAGTACTGCAATTGGCATATTAGTTGGTCACATGCTCGTATATCCTTATCAAACGATACACAAGCGATGATAATAGATGTAGTAACATATTGAATACTTAAATGGAAAATTTTCATAATAATTGAATAATTCTTATTGCGTCCTAATACTGATATCCTTAACTTATATTAATTAGAAATATATTCGTCATACTATAATTGCAACATCAAAATGAATAAAGGTACTAAATTTTTATTCGTTTATATTTATTTCAGTTAATCGTCACTATATTGTTCTTAACTCGCAAAACCTTCACGAGCATAATAAAATTCATTGCGAAACATTTTGTTTTAAACAAAAGACGTAAGAGTGACGTTAATACTAAAGATTTTTATGACGTAAAACTCCGATTTTCTAATACAGTTCATTAATTTAACTCTTTTTAATTTCATGCAATGCTAACGTAATTTCTTCATATGATTATTTAGTTTTAAATCGTTTTATATTCATCTTGTATAGCAGCAAAGTTTGTGAGTTAGTTAGAGAGAAATGCTTCGAATGCAGTATCGTCAAATAACGTGTTGTTTAGTCCGGCGTCATTGGCCGTAGTGACGTAGTTTAGGTGTTTCTCTGCCAAATGTGAGTCACGATATAAAACGAGTGCTCTTAACGAATATCGTACATTAAAGAGCTAACCACCGGCCGGACAAGTGCTGTCGTAAGGATCAAATGTTTATCGACGACGTCGCAGTAATCAGTAGTCGTTTGGATAACATTGTGTTCGAACCGTTCAAGTTTCAAGGTAAACGTCACTTCACTTGACTTGTTATTTAGTTACTAACTTACGGTTTCCTGTTATCATATGATTTAATATACCATTACAAAATCTATTTTATTAGTAATACATGCATTGCTAAAGAACGAATTAATTTTATTCATAACAACACGTTTCATTTTATACCTCGAATATAAATTTTATTACAATGGCTAATAAAAGGTTGTATTTGTAGGAAAAATGCGTCCTAATACGGAAAAACCTCCGACATGTGAAGCGAGCAAGATGCCACCACTTCTGCATCTAACTCCATCCACCACGACACAAAGAGGAGACTTCAGTCCCGTCCAGGGGGTTGACAACCCCTGCCTACTGAAACCCCAACACGACATACCGCCAACGCCCCCGCCGCAAACCGATTCCAAACCAAACAATTTCTTCCCGCAAAAAATAGGATAAATCTTTAATAAAACAGTTGGAAATAACTTCATAATGGCAAAATGCCATCTGAATACGGACTTTTAAATAAGTCATATAAAAATACTCCATTACAATGGCTCGGGAACCAGGAAGACTGTTCCAGAAATCGTTTCCATCGACGACTGATGTTCTAGAACTTTAGGTAATTTCTTTTTATGACGTTGACAATATAAGGACGTGTTACACTGTTGACTAATGAACCTTGTGAATTGATTCTATTGTAATTTAGTTCGATTGTAGAGATATGTTTAAAACTGTGTATTAAAATGTATTATATAGGTGAGTAGTACACTCTGTATTCGTTGTTAACATTAAATTTTTAATAAATAAACTTGTATATAATACGCTTATTTATTTATATAGTATTATTTATAATTTTAGTAAATTCGGGTCGCTTTGTAAACACACAATCACGTTGTACGGCTTTTATTAGGAACGTTGCCAAAAATTATGTTCCACTATTGATCTTACAGAGATATAACATTTTTTGTACAAACACCACTTGTTTTTATGAGTTCGTTATTTTTCTAATACTAAACGTAGATCCAATTCAATATCATAATTTTTGTTTAACATACGAATACATGATAAATACTTGATTTTTATATAAATTTATTACGATAGATTTCAAGTGCGCATTACAATTAAGAGCAATAAAAGTATATTAATCATTTGAATCGTGTCATAAAACGAATCCATTGTTAATTTATACGACATACACGTCACTTGTACAATAGATAAGGTAACTGGTACTATGAATCTAGATTGTCAGCGATTTGATTATAAATAATATTTAAATATATATGTATTTATGATAACAATGATTTCTCATCATCCAAAATAGTATAAAATTCAGATAAGATCTGAGATTAAGGTACATTAACATTATAAAGCTTCTGTAGTGGAACCAACAGACCAAGTCGTGACTCACTCTAAAAAGAATATTCATTAAGCCTTTTGTAGCTAACACCCAAACTTTAATTTATTTCAGTCGTTGGAATAAATGAATAAAAGTTACAATAAATCGAAAATCAAAAGAACAAATCACGATTAGTTCACATTATTGAATAATATTTGATTTTCTGTTATCAATTAATGAAAACGTAATGAAAATGGTTCTTTAATATATCTGTTTGTTACAAAGATATTTGTAATGAGAATTTCTATATCAATACCGATAAAGTATGTAACTGTAATGCATTTAAGTAAACAAAACCGTGGTAAACAACTAGTTTAATAATAATAGAATATATGTTAGTTAAATTTAAATAAATAATCTTATCAATCAATTCAAATAGTGGAAACAATGGGCGGTGTGGAAAAACCTCTTTTGCTCAACGACACGTCATATTTGAAGGTGGATTTGGAAGTAATTTTAAAGTAATGTAATGTCTATCAAATGAATGACTCCGGTCAACGATAATGGCTTGGATTAAGAGGAAGTGAATTCAAATTGAATTCCGCCAATTCCTTGAGTCATTTCCAAATTAAACTTCATAATCACTTTATCCTACGTCTGACTTATCTTATCTGGTGTACCAGCATTCTATTAATTCATTCTACCTACAAATTACAAGTTGTTATTCACGTACATATTCGAAATTATTAGTATATTAGAAGTCTTTTAATAGAACAATGTTAGTTAAAACATTGTTTTGTAATTTATATGAATAAAGCTTCTAAATTTAGATTGAAATAAACGAATTATGTTTTACTTTGTATATTAGCAATACCGAGTTTCCACAAAACCAATTAGTCTAAGTAACTAAAATGTATCAACGTATTGTAACTACACAAAATAACTTGATAAATTATACGCTATGTCTCATTTTGATATCTGAGCTATAATATTGAAAAGTTTAATCAAAATCAGTTACGTATTTTTTGTATCAAAGACCGACAAATAATCAAAATATACATATACTTTCGTATGTAATATATTTAAGGAATTTTTATGACTAAGGCTTAGTAATAATCAATAAATCTATGTTATACTTATTTTAAAAGACTCATTTATTACGTGTATTACATATGTATTAATTATATGTCAGTCATATGATTATTTCTATAGATATTTAAGTACAGATTAAAGTAAAGATAATATGTAATGCTTTAAGTGGCTTGATTTCAGTCACACGTCGACTGAATTTACTTACAAGTGATTCTGATATGCATTTATATCTATGATGATTTAATTATTAAAGTTATCTATAAATCTATGTAAAATTAAGCTATTTTATGGGCTCTGATCGAAATAGAAAATTGATACTTTATGTACGAACGAAACGCAATAGCATGTACAAAATGTATGTACTATTTAAACTGGCTGACTACGCGTTCACTTGCAAACGGTCGATATCCAGACTGAAAACACCTGAATAGTCTTTTTATACGAGTATATAACACACGTCAACTACGTACCAGCAATGAAAGGAAATGTAATATGGTTAAAGCATGATAAAAATCAATAATAAATTTGCTGTACATGAAAAGGAAATCGATCTTGTTAAATACAATTACTGTGTAACTACATAATGATTAGTGATATAGGTGACTATTGCTTGGTGTGTCGTTTAAGCTAATTACTCACCCGAGATGCCGCGAAAGACACTGATATTAATGAAGTTAATAATATAATTTAATATAACTTTTGTTATGAGGACAGCTAGCGATGAGGTCGCCGGCACAGCCTGGTGTACTGTGATACTTTGGTGCCTCTATCGGCGACTCACTACGAGATGACTACCAATTATTAGAACTGACACTATATTGACACTCGATATATTTCTATAGAAATATTTTAAGTGAATTATAGTAAAAGTTTTTTAGATTTATTTGTATGAGAATGTTAATATTTTCACTGTGTATTCTTGTTTGAATGTTAAAATTTATTATATATTTGTACCGGAACCTGTCTAAACATTCATAACACTCGTAGAGGGTGGGTCCTGCGCCGTGGGCTCGATGCGCGCGCACTTGTTTTTCCTATCCCAGCCTAGTTATGGAACAATCGACGATAAATGAAACTGTAGTTTTCCGACAAACGATAATAAATACGAATATATTAAAGTCTTCCAAACTAAAATAATACATCCAGCTTATGTACGGAAATTTGCGTAAGATAAATAGTATTTAAAAAATGAACCAAACTTAGATATAGCTCTTAAATGTAGACTCAATTGGGAGTAGGTACCTGAAACAAACGGAGTCATAATTAATTATATGTTAATTTCACTTAAAAAACTTATGTTACAAGCGAGAGAGATTTCGACTTTGGCTAAGGGATGAATCAGTTGTATATTCCAAAGTCAATATTATAATATTACGCTATAAATATTTGATATACAATAAATATATAAGACATGTGTTATCGTGAAAAGATTTAGGTCGCTGTATCTTATCTTTTATCTTATAATAAATGTAAGGAAAACAAAGAAAGAAAAAAATGACTTGCAGACTATTATATCGGTTATCATATGTCGATCATGATTGCCAACGAATTTTTAAATTAAACTATCTTACATGCTAACAATTTAGGATGCATTATAACAAATAAATTGATAATGTATATGGAATATTTATTCCAAACTAGTTTTTGCCCGCGACTTCTTTCGCGTTAATTTCGAAATTAGCAATGTATGAATAGTTAACCGGGCGAACTTTATTCCACCCTAGAGGTGGTAAATAACAAGATATTGGAATTTATTACTTTTTTCTTTCTCGATCGTACAGAATTAAATATTCTATGTCTGTCTCCTGGTACTAAGCTATCTCACCGTCAATTTTCAACTACATAATTTATGCTTACAGCCGTTCTTGAATTATACCTATATAGTGTAACTAACACAACTTTCTTATATCAAAATTCCTTCAAAAGGTATCATAGTAACGTCATATCTTAGATGTAGATACAAAAATCAGTCCCTGGTCACATTTATCCTACACAATATTACTTATATCTATTTTTAACATAGACCTGTAGATAAGATGGCGGCAACGTTCTAATTAAGTAAAGACGTCACTGTCACGGCTATCTAATTGCAATTATCTTAATTAAAATAATCCGATTACGAATACTATTGATTGCATAATTAAACTACAGTATAATGAGTGAAAGTAGGAAGTTTTCGTTTTTCTTAATAATAACTTATTGAATACGATATGCCAAGATAAACTGGACGTGAAACGTGGCGTATGTAGTGTGAGTAATGAGTATGCAAACGTTGAGTAAGCATATAGGAATCGCTTGGTAGTTAAACAGCAGTTGTGAATTCAGAAACACATGCAAATATAAAATACTATTTTTGTATATAACTCCTACGTTTATGAACTTTTACGTTACCTTACGTAAGTTTACGTTACGTTACGTATAACGTTTACGTTCCAAAGTTGGACCTCCATGACGATGGCTAATTTGTATTCCGTATATTATGCCATTCTCATTATATAGAAATACTTTTCATAACTCATTTGACTCACCAAAAATGTGGACAAAAATTCTTATGGCGAGTTTTTCCTCACAATGCAATGAAGAAAATTTTTAACCTAATTTTTTGTATTGACAAGGATATAGCAAAGTGACGTAACTTTATTTCCTCGTCGATCATTTGCTATTTTTATAATTATTTAAAGTCAGAATACATTTATATACTATTAAAATATTTAAATTTTTGGTCATACAAGAAACGTGTTATCTTACCTATAACATTTTAAAAGCGGATAATATATCTTATACCATAATCGATAATTTAAAAATCCATAAGAAAATTAGATATAACAAGATAATTTATCCAATATTAAAGAAATCATGTATGTTATAAAAGATATGTACAACATTTGATATTAAAGAACTAATTTCAGTCAATTGAGTCAATGAAAAAGCAGTTGATCGTATTGAATTCTATTCTACGAAACAAAAATCTAATATATGTGCTAAATACACATACTTATACTCTAATTTTTTGTCTGTCTTCATTGAA